GCCTGATCCCCCTAACTGCTCTCCCCTGCCAGCCTGATCGCCCCTAACTGCCTCTGCCTCGGTCCCGCCACTGTGGCTTTGTCCAGAGGGACATCTGGAAGATGTCTGGTCTAATTAGCATATTACCCTTTTATTAGTATAGATAACTAGGGAAGATTCTCAAGCAATCGGGTAAGGGACAAGTGCTGGGTAGTGGTCTCAGAATGACTCCAGCACTAGAGTTCCTGCCTGCTTCTTGCAGAGGGAGGAAGGAGAGAGGCACAGAGCAGCCTGCTGCCTCCTAGGACCCTCTCCCTCCAGGCAGCCTGCCACCCACTTAGTTACCTCCTGTCGCAAGGCCTCCAGGCTGGCCTCGCCCTTCAGCAGCTTCTGTCGGAGGCCCAGGGCTTCCCTTCGTCCCTCCTTTTCTGCCCGCTCGCCGAGTGCCAGGCGGCCCTGCAGCTCCACCAGCTCCCTGCCCAGCCTGGCGTTCTCACTGTCCAGCATCTTCATCTGTGAGAGAGTGGACACAGGTAGGACCGAGGACCCAGTCTCAGCACCCACAGCCCCACCTGGCCCAGGGTGTTGGTGAGTGCTCAAAGCTTCCAGTATTATAGTTTCAGCCCCAGGTTTTACATATGGAGGGCCCTTGGCTCCAGAAAGGGGGTGCTCCTGGCCCAGGGGCAGACAGCAAGTGCCCGGGGAGGGTGCCGCGCTGCGGAGGGTACCTGCCGCCGGAGCTCCTGCAGCTCCCTCCGAGCCTCCAGCCGAGAGCGCTCCACCTCCTGCAGCCCGGCCCGCAGGTCCCCGGCCTCCTTGCCCATGGCCACCCGAGCCTCTTCGAGGAGCGCCAGTTTCTGCTCCTTGTCATCATTGGCCAGCTTCAGGCTGAAAAGGGCAGGGGTCAGAGGCAGCCTAGGTTCCAGGAAGAGTATAGTGTGGCTCTACACAGAAGTCCCTTCCCGTTACTCCTGGAATGGGTCCGACTGGCTCTTGGCCTGAAGGTGCCCCCAGTGCTGCTTGCCCACATGGCCCTGTCCTGAGCTGACCCCTCCGGGCTGGGCCCAGGCCCTCAGCTGGGAGAGACGGACCAATGACTGGGGTAGGGGGGCACGCACTGAGTCTGCAGGGAGATCCACCAGGTGGGGTCGGAATCTGGACCCAACCCTGCCTGCTGCCACCTTTCCCCTTCCATCAGTGCCTGGCTTGGTTCAAGGGCAAAAACTCCCCACCTGCGCCATTTCCCCTGCACCTTGGGGTGAAGTTAGCTTCCAGGGACAAAATTCAGTGTGAAGGTCAGGGCTCAGTGAAGGACTCCGGGCTGGTCCCTCCTGTCTCCCCACCTGATCCGCTCGCTCTCGGCCTTCTTCACGGCAGCCCGCAGCTCCTCGTTGGACCGCCGCAGGGCCTCGCGCTCCT